AAATATGAGTTGAAATAAATTATGTAATGATTACAATGGGATGTTAGTGATTGACCTCTCAAATGGATACATCTATCTATATTGTACTGGTCCTGCTACATGACATTCATAGGGCAAATGAACCGGTAGTTGCTCCATAGAATCAAAGAACCCGGGCAGAAAAATTTGCTCCAATTTGCATATTACTACTAGAATTTCTCTCGCTAACTTGTTCATAGCATCGCATCGGATAACAGTCATCGTCAATTCCTTGAAAAAGAGACTCAATTTTGTCATTGCTTCCCAAATTTTCCCTGGCAATAATTTTCGAAATGCCACAGGGATCAATCTCTGCATGAAAACATGACAGTCATGGCTTTTCATGCCAAACAATCTGTACTTCCTCATGTTCACACATCTACCCATATTTGAATAGTATCCATCTGGAAACCTTAATGATCGGACCCATTCGCACAGTAATTGCCTTTGGGGTTTATCTAAACAATAACATGCCTTTGGATACTTACCAGTAAGTACAGATTGCTCGAGTTCTGGTCGACGACAAATTTCCTTCATGTCTGCTCTCGCTTTTGCATTATCCTTGGTTTTATCCTTGGTTTTCCCTTCAATTGTTCTCAATGTTCATGACAGTGTTGAACAGATTTTCAAATGCATTTTTTTCTATATGCATCACATGAAGGTTATGACGGATAAGAAGTGAATTCCAGTATGGCAAATCCAAGAAGATGCTTCGCTTTTTCCACCCGCTATTCCAGCCAATTCTTCCATTTACCTCTTCTGAACCTAAATCTGTAACTTTCATAAGCCCTAGATCTTCAATTTCTTGTAATATTTCATCTCCAGACTTCACAGGCGGAGGCGGTTCAGTAATAGTCGTGTTCTTTCTAAAGTATTGTCGATTTCTCCTCCAAGGGTGAGATTCTAGTAAGAATTTGCGATGACAATCAAACCAACATTGTTTATCTCCATTTTTTAGTGTAAATGCATTGTGGATCCATTGCAAATTGAGGGATAAGCAATTTGCCTACCGTACTCCACCCAAATAACATTCCCGGAATGCTTTGAAAAATCACTGATGGTCCAAAGCAAAGCAAGCTCGCATTTATGAAATTCGGATTGGTCGAAAATATCGAAACGTTTCAACCCCATATTCCTATAAAATAATTAAGGTTCGGCAATCAGAAGGCTTTGTAGAAACACATCAATTTTGTGTTTCGGATTGGTTAGGGCTAGGTACAATAACACACAAAAAACATATATTCATTCTTTCATTATACACATTGATTGGTTGTAGATTAATGGTGTGACAATGATAGGCCATGATTGAATATTGTTTGTCCTGATTGCCCAAATAGGCTGAAACCCATCAGTACAAAGTCCTAAATCTCCACCATTTCTCATATCAGCCAGCAAACACAGATGGAAATTGTCTTATCAAAATGTTTACACGCTCAGAGTTTGACGGATGAGTCATTATACCAATCCTCATATTCATGCCAAAGCATGCCATGTCATGTGTTCAGGCTGTCTTTCGCCTTAGATGCATATAACCTTTGAACGGCGTTAAAAAGAGAGGAAATAATAACATCTTTCTTGAAACAGCCTTCTCTCTTTGTACTCTTACCAGTCCCTTGACCCGCGTTGATATCTTGAAAGATTACAAAACTTGCATTTCTTCTGGAATCGGAGTCAAGGCTCCCAGTCTATCATATAATTTTATTACGACAAACAATCAATCTTCCACGGTAGTCCCAATTCCCGAACTAATTTTTTTTGTTGGTAAAAATTATCAACCATTGAATGGCCTTCAGACAAACAATTTATTTTGCTAACTGCACAAATCATCGTAACACCTTTCTTGAAAAATGGTTTGGCTCCGCTTATTATGTGCAGTAAATCGTGCCACAGTGCCACAACAGATAGAACTGAATGATTCTTGCATCCAGGCCACAGTTCACTGTTAGCTGCACTTAGCATGTCAAACAATTGTTGTGCTGCATAGTGTGATGATTCCTCCATATTATAACAATAACATTCTACTCTACTCGCATCGATTACCAAATCATTGCATTGATTACCATACTGAAATTGATAAGGCTGACTTTCTAAACTTATCGGAATAGAGTGGCCTAACCCACTGGAAACTCGAGGTTCACCATGATGTATCCATTCGTAATAATTTTTCATGGACCCATTTTTGCATAAATGAAGTTTAATTGCTAAGAAAGGCTCTATTTCGACACTTTCTGTGATTACATGGATATCTCAACTTATTACCATCCATACAACTTGGGATTTACCAACTGCAAACTGTATAAATTGTAATGAATTTTTATGCATGATATATTAATATAGTGTTCTTTCATTAAACATCAGTTTCATATACTGTGACTAGTTGACTCACTAATAATCGAGCTATCTCTATAACAGATATTGATCCGCCTGTATGTCAAGAAGGTCCTGCTCCATCACCACCAGTCTCACTGCGCCTGTTTTATGCAAATATCTCCCACTTTCTCTTGAATGCAGGATCCTCCCAAGCCTTTTGGCAGCTCTCCCATATCTCTTGAGACACGCACTGCTGCTTCAATATTAAGGTTATATATAGTTCTATATATATATATAAACCTACTATAATAAAGGTAAGTGTACGATTCCACATATTGAATTTTTTGGAAAAAAATTCGGTAATATGACCTACTATAATAAAGGTAAGTGTTTACAATTCCATCATATTGAATTTCTTGAAAAAAATTCACGGGCAGCACTTCGGCACACACAATCAAATCTCAAATAAAAACACACTTCAATAAACACTTTTTATTATCATTAAACAACCATTCTCAAGGGCAAAAAGGCCACTACTAGACCTCCATCCAAACCGCATTATTATTTAAAAATATATATATATTTAAGAATAATAACAACAAAATAACAAATAAAATGCTTTATTTCATTAATTACAAAAAAAGAGTTAATCTTTAGTTACAAACCTATGTTTATTGTATTTATTTTTAGTTACCACAATTATATTTAATTTACCTTACAAACATATTTTAAATTGATTTAGTTCTTTTTTTAACATTAATTAATAACCATGTAATTTTTTATTTTTCAATTTAATCAACACAAACTAAATTTTAAAATTGACATTAAATAAAATTACATTTGATTAAATTACATTAATTTTTTATTTTTCAATCAATTCAACACAAACTAAAATTTTAAAATTGCATTAAATAAAATTACATTGATTAAATTACATATATAATTTTGCCTAATTCTAATTTTATCATTCTTTTCAATAACACGTGTACAAAATTCAACACCAACTAAATCACAACTACAAATCTGTCGACAACTAAATAACAACTCATTTTTTGTCATGCAACAAAAAAAAAAATGAATTCAATTTAATAAATGAATTCCACGCAATTTTATAGATTTCATTTTGAATTTTATGATTTTATGTTAGATAGAAATGGAAAAATAATTCAATTTTTCTTAAAAATGAAATTTGTGAACTTCAGTATAACTGTACTAGCTAATTAATTCTATCACTTGCCAAGGAATTTTTGTGGTTCAAATTAATTTATACTAAACAATATTACAATAAAAATATGATTATAATATATAGAATGATTATAATAAAAAGATGAATGGGAACCCATAAATAGCAATTCACAAAAAAAAAAATGAAAAAAAAAAAATCAAACGTACCTGAATTGACTAGCGACCGCGAACGACGATGAGAAGTGATCCTCCCGCGACCGGGGTTGCAATGGAGCGGAGATGGACGTATCAGGCGGCTTGGAGTGGCACGGCAAGAGGCTAGGACAGCGTTGCCAACGGAGGAGGAGAAGAGAGGAGGAGAGGAAAGAAAGAAGAAGAAAGAAGAAGGAGGGTGTTGCTGGCGTTTAATGATCTAAAATTTGCGATCGACTGGTCGGTAGCAAATTTCATTAAAATCGGTAGCAATTTTTAACTCTGCGACATCGTTTTACTTCGCATCGAAATTGCGACCATCCTTGTCGGTCGCAAATCGTTCGTAGAATTTGGTCCTTAATTTGAAGTGCGCAATTTTGCTACGGAATAATATATGTTCGCAAATCAGTCACAAAATCGGTCGCAAATCCTTCGTACACTAATCGCAAAATGGAAAACAAACTCACGAGAATTTTCACCGCTACAATTAGCGACTGTTTGTTCATAGGTCGCAAAATTGCGAACAATTTTAGTCGGTCACAAAATGATGATTTTTTTATAATGTTAGATGGGTTCTTGATTTTCACTTTCGGTTCAATTAGAAATTTATGAGTATAATATTATTTGAAATTATTCCTAATTAAATTAAATTCAAAAATTTGTGAAAATGAAAATTCGAGTTGTTTCAATTCTCCCCCTTAAAGAAAATTCGGCCTCGAATTTCGAATAAAGCTATCTCTCGGAACCGGATTTTTCAATTAAGAAATCAAATTATATATAAATTAATGAAATTTGAATAATAAAATATAAATGTGTTTATTTGAGGGAAAAAAAAAACTAAATCTATAAATTGATAAATTTTATGAATAATCAAAAATTTTCAAAATCAATCTTTTTATTAATGATAAAATTTAAACCACTTAATTTATTCTACAAACACCATTCAAAATGAATGAATTTTATTTTCCAACCAAACCATTGAACAGAAATTCCATGAATTTCAAATTCCATTGATCCAAATAATTCTTATATCCTTTTACCCTATCTTATTTTTTTCTCAGATATAGAAATTTGAAATTAATTTTAGGGTTTACTCAATTTTTTTTAAAATTAATAATTGACATGAATCATTAAATAAGAATATGACAGAATGCATAGGTCAGACTAAATTTCCCTCTTCCCAAATGCTAAGAAAGATGGAAAAGGTAATTTTACAGTTGGGAACTGAGATATTAATTTTATGACCATATATGAATAGCAGCAAAAGTGGATACCTAAACTTAAACGAGAAGACTGAATTATAATCTGCTCCAACCATCACCAGAGCAGAATTTAATGCACATAAAGACACAGAAGAGAGAAATGTGTTTATGAAGCCTTCTCAATATATAGAGACAGAGAAGGTTATGAGTTCCTTAATTAATACTGATTTCAAATCTCTCTTCTTTCAAATCTATGAGTTCTTTTTCTGCTAAAGAAGAGACCGACATGGATGAAGATGTGGAGAAGAAGAAGAAGAAGCAAGAAGAACAAAAGAAGCAACAGAAAGTTCCATTGCTAAAGCTTTTTGCATTTGCAGATTTTTATGACTATGTACTGATGGGGTTAGGATCTATTGGTGCTTGCGTTCATGGAGCTTCAGTGCCTGTGTTTTTCATTTTTTTTGGCAAATTGATTAACATTATTGGATTGGCTTATCTCTTTCCCCAACAAGCTTCTCACAGAGTTGCGAAGGTGCCTATATATATATATATATATATATATTATATATTATATATAATACACGCACACATATATTCAATTCAAGAATTATATTCTTTCTGTTCATTAAATTAAAAATTTATATACACGCACACATATATTCAATTCAAGAATTATATTCTTCTGTTCATTAAATTAAAATTATGGATGTTTTTGTTTGCAGTACTCTTTGGATTTTGTATATCTCAGTATTGCTATATTATTTTCATCATGGATAGGTAAGCATAAATTTATTATTATCAATTTCTTTTAATTAATTATTATGAAACATTCAAACTTAACGTCACAACCAACAAAATAAAGACGAAACGAGCTCTAAGACCATATCAGAAGTGTAAACTTAACCTTAAAACCCTGGTGTTTGAGTGTCAAAAACTATAAGATTTTGAAATTTTTGCGAAACCCACGTGAGATTGAGAGATTGAAGAATGTTTTTGAGAAATTATAATTAGGTTGAGATTTTGTTCTTAATTTATTTTAATAAATGATGGAAATGGAAATATATATATATACACAGAAGTGGCTTGTTGGATGCATACCGGAGAACGGCAGGCGGCAAAGATGAGAATGGCGTACTTAAGGTCAATGTTAAATCAAGATATCAGTTTATTTGACACTGAAGCCTCTACAGGAGAAGTCATTTCTGCCATTACTAGTGATATTATTGTGGTTCAAGATGCTATTTCTGAAAAGGTATTTTTTTTTCTCTCTCCTCTTTTAATTATTTAATTTCAAATACAATTTTAATAAATAAAAAATTAATTTTATTTCGAGATTCGTAAATATTCTAGTCTCCATAAATGAAAATGGTTTTCTCCGCTAAATTTTATCATCATTTAGATAATATACTAATAATTCAAATAAAAGTACTGAGTATTTTATAATATATTTTTATTGAGCATTTGTTTTTAAAATTTGTAAATTGAAATTTCTATTAATAATCTAGAACGCGTATTTTTACGATCATTATCTCAAGCCTTTTTCTAGTATTGAAGAGAGGTTTGAACTATTCGGCTCTTACAAGGACCCATCACGTGTCAACGTATCTCCTATTGAAAGCCTACTTTCCCATCACTTGTCACCGCTATTTCCTATCCGAAGCTAGCTTAAGGGCTTGTTTGGTGCGGATATTTAGTATGTCAGTTTTATCCGTCACGTCGCATATTCTGTCCGACCGGTTCTAAATTGGACGGATAAAATTCACTCCGTTTAAGAATACATGAGCTCGATTGAAATAAGATTCCACCTAATTCGTGCTATATTTTTTTTATCAAGTTATGTTTTTAATTTTCTTTTAAAAAATTAAATAAATTCCAATTTAAAACTAATCATCCCCAAATACAGCAAATACGTGTATTTAATTTCATGAATTGCTATAAACATGGAAAAAATAGAACAATTATAATTCTGCACATTCATATTTTGATAATAATCATATTGACCGCCAAAATAAAATGTGAAAATATACAAGGCAGAGGTATGTGTTAGAGAAATAGGGCAATTGCCCCTCTTCTATTTGTTTTATTTAAAAAATTTCCCTCAGTAATACCAAGGTTCAAATGTTGGCAAAAAAAGAAATTTTAACATACATTCAATCATTTTGCCTTCATTTCTACACAATATTCTTTTAATTAATTTTATATTAGCTTGTATCATTCTTTTTAAATTCTATCTTCGTCCCTTAAAATATATAATTATAATTATTTTTAAAATATAAAAATATAGGTTTGACAGTTGTATTCCGTAACGTTCAGAGGATTATAAAAAAAATTGTTGAAAATTGAAGGATTAGGTCTAATAACAATCATAAAAGCATGAGGTAATTCACGTGATAACATGCATAACCATAAATATAGAAAACGACTAACCAAATTGACACATTTCATTCAAAAATAAATAATTAAAGAAATTGATTTTTTAAAAAAAAAAAAAAAGAAGAGAGAAAAAGAATACAGTTGAGAAAACATTTATTAGCCAGTTGGAGTTGTTTGGTGAGTTGTTTGAAGCTTTTATTGATGGACCAGCTTTTACAGATATTTAGGATCCCATTTCCATTCTGTCGCCAATGCTACAAGCTGCAGGCTCTTCATGCTGTAACACCATATTATTATTAGTGCAGTAAACATAAACCCACGAATATTCTATTTCTTATAATTTTGACTTTAATTTTCTAATTTTGGTGGGAAAAAAACATAATTTTGTTTTATTTTTTTTTTGTTAATAAAAACATTAATTTTAAATTTTTTATCTTAATGGTTAACTATATTTCAAGTCATTTTATGCACATGCATCTTAAGTGAATAAGTCTTATCTTTTTTTTTTTTTCTTCCTGATACGTGAAGGCCAAAATGATATCACGAGCTACAAAGCTAGTGGGGGAGCTAAGACAAATATTTTAGGAGAGTCTGAATGAAATTTTTTTAAACTTTTAGAAAGTCAAATGTAATTTTTCTATATTTTCATTAATAACGAGGATTCGGAAGATCACACATTGATCGATCAAAGAAGGATTAAAATATCAATTTCATAAGAAAATAAAAAAAAAATTTTTTTGGGAGGCCATGGCCTCCTTAGTCTTAAAGGAGTTCTGCCCGTGTACACAGTAGAGGATACGCTCTTTTTTGACTAACATTCACCGAATTGGTGATAACTTTTGTAGTGTTGGATTCTTTTTATTCTTTAAATATTAATATTTTGATATTTTATTTTAATATTTTTTATCTTAAATTATCTACATCTCCGAGTCAATTTTTTGCAAATGCAACCTAAGGTGAGCTCAAACATGTAATATTTACTTCTAGGTGTTAATAGCAAAAAACTTTATCAATAAGGTGCTAAGCAAATTCTAGATTTTTTTGATATTTCACATTATTTCTTAATTAATATATTTTTTTTTTCATTAAAATTTTATTAGGAAAGCTTATTGAATTTTTTTTTTACTTTTTTTGAAATATAAATATAGATAAGTAATTAAATAACTAACTCTCATAACAAGTAAGTCTTTTTATTATGGAAACATAATGTTATAAATACATAACAAAATGTTTTTATATCAAAGATTAAAATTTATTTTTATAGATGTGTGCTTGTATGCGATTATCGTAATTAATTTTTCATAAAAAAAAGTAAAAAATGATCATGTTACAATGGTGGTGCAGGTAGGGAACTTCATGCACTATATAAGCCGATTTCTAGCAGGGTTTACGATTGGGTTTGTTAGAGTGTGGCAAATCAGTTTGGTGACATTGTCCATAGTGCCCTTAATTGCTCTTGCTGGTGGTTGCTATGCTTACGTCACCATCGGCCTTATTTCTAGAGTTCGCAAATCTTATGTCAAAGCTGGTGAAATCGCTGAGGAGGTAACCACAGTGTTTTTTTTTTTTTTTAGTTTCGCAAATCTTATGTCAAAGCTGGTGAATCGCTGCAGGAGGTAAACCACATGTTTTTTTTTTTTTTTATCACAATTTTTTTTTTTTTTTTTTATTCTTAATGTTTGTTTTCGTCAACTATTTAATATTTACAGGAGTCGAGCTCTTTGGGAGCTTAAGGCGGATGTGGCCCTGAGATATTTTTTTAAAAAAATTTCTTTTATATTACATTTGAATCCTTTAAATATAAAAAATTATATTTGACTCTCTAAAATTTTAAAAATTTCATTTTACTGCCCAAAATAATTCCTAAGTCCACCCAGACTATTTAGTCCTTCAATTAATTGTTTGAGCTTTGCAGTTAAATTTCTTGTAAAAAAATGAAAATAATTAGGGATAAACATTATATTTCTAAAAACATAAGGTTGGGGTGATATATTTTGGTGCAACAGAGAGATAAAATAGTAATTTTTTCTAAAATTTTCAATAGATTGAAAACTGAGGTTGGCTCAAAATTTAGCAATGTCAAATTGCCTATGGACAAGAACCTATTTGATTTACTGTAATAAAAGTTGATCACTAAGCCTAAAATGTGTTTAACTTTCAGGTGATTGGAAATGTTAGAACAGTACAGGCATTTGCAGGAGAAGAGAGAGCAGTAGCATCATATAGAGATGCTCTTAGGAATACTTACAAATATGGAAAAAAGGCTGGTCTAGCCAAGGGTCTAGGACTAGGGACCTTGCACTGTGTCCTTTTTCTGTCATGGTCATTGCTTGTTTGGTTCACTAGCATTGTTGTTCATAAGAAGATCGCCAATGGTGGTGAGTCTTTCACCACCATGCTCAATGTTGTTATTGCTGGCCTGTAAGTACATTCTCTTCCTCCTTTTCTCATTACCTTCCACATTTCGTGCAAATAGAGTCATTGTACTGTGATTAACATGAATTTTATTTCACATGCTGTTCTTAACGGTAATGGAATTTGTTGCTCTTCAATTGTACAATCTTCTCCTTTGTTATTGGCAAGTAACCATATTGGGAACCCTAAATTTATTCTGTTCATATATACCTAAATTTATTCTGTTCATATATATATATATATATATATATATATATATAGATATATGTGCGTGCGGATGCTCCGTGTGGACTTTTTTTTCTTAGAAATTTCATGAACAGTTTTTTCAAAAACTTTTTTAAAATTTTTGTTTAATTTCTGATCAGAAAAAATTACTGAAGCAACAAGAAAGATAACTTCAGAAACGTGCAAGCTTTTTGAAATTTTAGAACACATATATATATATATATATATATAGATATATGTGCGTGCGCCCGTGTGACTTTTTTTGATTAGAAATTTCATGAACAGTTCAAAAACTTTTAAATTTTTGTTTTAATTTCTGATCAGAAAAATTACTGAAGCCACAAGAAAGATAACTCAGACGTGCAAGCTTTTGAAATTAGAACAAGTCTTTAGTAATGTAAAATATTATTTAAAGAATTTAACCTCAATTTTACCTTTTCTGTGAAGAATCGCTCAATGAGAAAAATAATTAAATAAATTCAAGTATGGGAACTCAATTTAGAGAAATAAAAATTTAGGGATCCAAATGATTAGATGTGATAAATTTAGGGGCTTTGAAATGAGTTTTTCCCTTTTGCTTGTTGCATGAAATTCTCAATGGAAGATGCTGTTGATGTTAAACATTGACTTATTGAGCTAGGAGTGAAGCACTTCACCAATGGGCTGTTTAGCCTAATGGTATCATGCAATTTTAATATCATCTTCGGAATACAATGACCTCTTTCATTTCTATTTGAAAGGATGGATTTCAATTCTGCTAAATTGTAACAAATGAAACCATTAGGTGATGATATATTTCTCGAATATCATGCGATGGTTTTCAGGTCACTTGGACAGGCAGCTCCAGATATTGCTGCATTTGTCCGAGCAATGGCAGCAGCTTACCCCATTTTTGAAATGATAGAAAGGAACACAGTAGCAAAAACCAGCTCAAAAACTGGCCGAGTGCTAGATAAATTGGAGGGCCACATAGAACTCAGGGATGTGTGTTTTAGCTACCCATCTCGTCCTGATGTAATGATCTTTGATAAACTCTGCCTTGATATTCCTTCTGGGAAGATTGTAGCTCTTGTTGGAGGCAGTGGATCTGGAAAGAGCACGGTTATATCTTTGATTGAACGCTTCTATGAGCCTTTATCGGGACAGATACTATTAGATGGAAATGATATCAAGCACCTTGACCTGAAGTGGCTTAGACAGCAAATTGGGCTAGTTAATCAGGAACCTGCTCTTTTTGCCACAAGCATACGGGAGAACATTCTTTATGGAAAAGATAATGCAACCCTTGATGAGATAACAAATGCTGCTAAACTCTCAGAAGCTATTTCTTTTATCAACAATCTCCCTGACAGATTTGAAACTCAGGTACTTTTTTATCATTGCTAGCAATTAAGAGACATAGCTATTATAATGGTCAATTAAGTAATAATTGAACGGACCATCATGTGCTTTTCTGCATGGCATAAAGATAGTGTGTTCTGCTTTAAGTTACTTATTGCGTGCTTGGAGTTCCCAGCCTTTCTTTGTTTCAGGTATTTGGTAATTTAAAGGAGGCTGTAGCAGATATTAATGTGCAAAATACGGGAGTTATCAACCTCAGTTACTTCCCACCGTAGCAAATTCTAGCCATTTGGTTTCTTAGGGTTTCTTAGTAAGCATTTGGTGGTTATAAATGAGGAATATCAGCTCATAATCTTTATAAAAATTGCATTAACCGCTGCCAATAGAAAAATTAGAAAATAGAACAGAACCTGAGGATGGATTTTCTTGTAATAATTGTATATAATGTGTTACTTGCAGGTTGGTGAGAGGGGAATACAACTATCAGGTGGACAAAAGCAAAGGATTGCAATATCACGTGCTATAGTGAAGAATCCATCTATTCTTTTGCTAGATGAGGCTACAAGTGCACTTGATGCTGAGTCTGAGAAGAGTGTGCAAGAGGCACTTGATCGTGCCATGGTGGGAAGAACAACTGTAGTTGTTGCCCACCGCCTTTCTACCATTAGAAATGCAGATGTGATTGCTGTTGTTCAAGAAGGGAATATAGTGGAAATAGGAAGTCATGAGGAGCTCATCTCTAACCCCAATAGTGCATATGGATCACTTATTCATCTACAGGAGACGGCATCTTTGCAGCGCCAGTCTTCTGTTGGTCCTACAATGGGACTTCCACTCAGGTACTTAGTTAACATTCGAGAATGACATTCTGCAATTCTTAATGTTATTGTTTTTAGTAGAGATGAAGAATGTTAGGTGTCAATGGGCATTTGGGTACCAAGTTTTGGAAGCAGTTGCCAAGACACTGCACATTTATTTAGCACTACTATGAACTTTCTTTCTATTCCAAGTAAAAGAAACATCCTATTGTTATCTTTCTTAGTTTAGTATGCAGTAATGTTAAAAGTATTTGAGACACTAAAGAATTTTACAATGCCATTAAAATCGGTGTTTCAAAAAAGAAACTAAAGCCTTTTTCTCATTGTAGCCTGGAAGGAATCTATAAAGGGAACAGCACATATCATTCACATATGCCGACTTCTAAAATTTAAAATACTGAAATATTGCATTCTGACTTTTGATTTCATTTTTAGCATACGGTACTCTCGAGAATTATCCTACAAAAGATCAAGTTTTGGTACAAGCTTTCGTTCTGAAAAGGATTCAGTCAGTCGTGTGGGTGCCGATGCAATGGAGCCTATGAAGCCAAGACAGGTTTCAGCAAAAAGACTTTATGCAATGATAGGCCCTGATTGGATTTATGGGTTAGTGGGTACCACTTGTGCATTTATTGCTGGATCGCAGATGCCACTTTTTGCACTTGGGGTATCTCAAGCTCTCGTTGCCTATTACATGGACTGGGACACTACTCGTCACGAGGTCAAAAAGATTTCAATCTTGTTCTGTGCTGGTTCAGTAATTACTGTTATTGTCTATGCCATTGAACATCTCTGCTTTGGAATCATGGGGGAGCGACTGACTTTTCGTGTGAGAGAAAAGATGTTTTCTGGTAACTATATTGGTCTTAAAACATCTTCATTACTTCAACATTATATATCAAAGCATTTGCATATGTTCTTCTGAATTCATATGTCCATTGGATAAACTTACGTGCTTCTGTCCAGATAACGCGTCAATGCTCTGACATATTTTTCCCAAAACAATGTAAGCTGATTGGTATTTGTATGGTCAGCATACATTTAACATTGAAATTGTTCATTTACATGGATTTGATTTAAAACCCCCCCCCCCCTCTCTCCTTCCATTAATTAACATTTCTTCTATGTTTGTTTCAGCCATTTTGAAGAATGAGATTGGATGGTTTGATGACTTGAATAACACAAGTTCTATGCTGGCATCACGTCTAGAGAGTGATGCAACCTTGTTACGAACTATAGTCGTTGATCGCTCAACAATTCTCTTACAGAATGTGGGTCTTGTTGTCACCTCATTTGTAATCGCTTTCACCTTAAACTGGAGAATCACACTAGTTGTAATAGCCACTTATCCACTGATCATAAGTGGCCACATCAGTGAGGTTGCCTTTCTTTCCTACATCTAAATTCAAAATTTTGTTTGTAGTGCAACAATAATAATTATAATTCTCATAAATTCAGAAACTCTTCATGAAAGGCTATGGTGGAAACTTGAGCAAAGCATATTTAAAGGCTAACATGCTAGCTGGTGAGGCTGTGAGCAACATCCGCACTGTTGCTGCCTTTTGTGCTGAAGAGAAGGTCCTTGACCTTTATGGCCGTGAGCTTGTGGATCCCTCCAAGCGCTCATTGGTTCGTGGTCAAATTGCCGGTATATTCTATGGTGTATCCCAGTTCTTCATCTTCTCATCTTATGGGCTTGCCTTGTGGTATATAACAATACATTATATGTTTTTCAATGATGTTACTCTTACTTGGTTCCAAGAGAGTGATTAAAGTGAATTTCAGTGCTTAATCTTGTAAATGTTGTGTAGGTATGGTTCTGTTTTGATGGGGAAGGAGCTTGCTGGCTTTAAATCTGTCATGAAGTCATTTATGGTTTTAATTGTAACTGCATTAGCCATGGGCGAAACTCTCGCAATGGCCCCAGATCTTTTGAAAGGGAACCAAATGGTGGCATCTGTCTTTGAGCTGCTGGACCGCAAGACACATATAACTGGGGATATTGGAGAAGAGTTGAAAAATGTGGAGGGTACTATTGAACTAAGAGGTATAGAGTTCAGCTATCCATCAAGGCCAGATGTGTTAATCTTCAAGGACTTTGATCTACGAGTGCGTTCAGGCAAGACTGTTGCTTTAGTTGGGCAAAGTGGTTCTGGTAAAAGCTCTGTTCTTGCTCTTATATTAAGATTCTATGATCCAACGGCAGGAAAAGTGATTATTGATGGTGAGTTTCTTTGGGCTTTAATTGCAATAATTGCTTTATATTGGCAATATACAAGATTTTATTTTATATTGTTTTAGTCTGATGAGGATGTAACTGTATTGGCACAGGCATAGATATCAAGAAACTGAAGCTAAAATCTCTAAGAAAGCACATTGGCCTAGTTCAACAAGAGCCAGCACTTTTTGCAACATCAATCTATGAAAACATCTTATATGGGAAAGAAGGAGCCTTTGAAGCAGAAGTGATTGAAGCTGCCAAACTTGCAAATGCTCATAGTTTCATTAGTTCTCTTCCAGAGGGTTACTCAAGAGCCAGCTACTTTTTGCAACATCACTCTATATTTTATATTGTTTTAGTCTGATGAGGATGTAACTGTATTGGCACAGGCATAGATATCAAGAAACTGAAGCTAAAATCTCTAAGAAAGCACATTGGCCTAGTTCAACAAGAGCCAGCACTTTTTGCAACATCAATCTATGAAAACATCTTATATGGGAAAGAAGGAGCCTTTGAAGCAGAAGTGATTGAAGCTGCCAAACTTGCAAATGCTCATAGTTTCATTAGTTCTCTTCCAGAGGGTTACTCGACGAAAGTCGGTGAGCGAGGGGTGCAACTATCTGGTGGGCAGAAGCAAAGAGTGGCTATTGCTAGAGCAGTTCTAAAGAACCCAGAAATATTACTATTAGATGAAGCAACTAGTGCTTTAGATGTGGAGTCGGAGCGAGTTGTGCAGCAAGCTATAGATCGATTGATGAGGAACCGAACAACGATCATGGTGGCACATAGGTTATCCACTATAAAGAATGCAGATCAAATATCAGTCATACAAGATGGAAAAATAATAGAGCAAGGGACTCATTCTAGTCTCCTGGAGAACATAGATGGAGCTTACTTTAAGTTGATAAGCCTTCAGCAGCAACAAGGACATTCACAACACTAAAGATATATTATTATTAATTACTATTATTTTTAATTCAACAGATATATTTGACTTCATATGACTTGAAATTTGTTTTTGATGTAAAGATAAACTGGGATATTAGTAAGTGACACATATATGTTGATAATGAGGAAGCTGTACAATCACACTTCGGAATTCAATTCCTGCTTAATTTGTGTAACAGAAACTAGTACATGTCTTCTTTGTACCAGCAAAGTACTTGCATGCCCTTGGAAATGGATGTCACCAACTTGAAGTTGTTTGAAAATTGTTGTTTGTGCTTTTGGATTTTTACTCAGTGGCAAGTAAATGTAATTTAATTTATATAAATAAATTTCTGTTAATATACATGTATAATTTCTATTAATTTCTTGTTATAAATTTCTTGTTATAAATTATAAAGTTATGAATAGTTTTTATTACTAAAGATTTAAGAGTATTTACATAATAAAAAGGAATATTTTATTATAAAATATTCAATAATTAAATAATTTGTTCAGAAAAGAAAAAATTTATAATAATAAAATATTATTATAAATTGACAAACAAATTTTTTTATGAAAAAAAATTGCTTTTATTAACCAATTAAATTTTCTTATAATAATTTTTTTGAAATGAAACAATATTGCATTATCTCAATGGAAAAAATCCAACAAACAATATGGGACATCATCTCAGATTTGGAAACGAGCATGATGTATAAATGCTCTAGCAAAAGTGTGAGCACTCATATTAGCTGTCTCCAAACCATCCTGACAGTAATATCACGCCTTGACTCTAAAATTTACTTACAATCAAGTACGATCAAACCAAATTCAGAATTATTTAAAACATGGGATTTGAGAGCGTTCACAAGGTTTTGGCAATCGGAAAAATACACCCATTTAAAGGAAGAAATTCACGAGCATATGAAAGCAGGAACAAAGAGCTAGAGCCTCCACCACTGCCGCCGAGCCATTGCCTTCCTGAAACCCTAAAACTGCACGTTGAAACCATCCCTCACTGTCCTCAATAACATAACCATACCTAATGAAATCCTTGGTTGTGAACATTGATCCATCAACGAAGCAAAGCCAAGCAAAATTATGAGCTTGAATGGATGGTGCTGCACGTGCATGTCGATGAAGCACTGAAATGGACGTCACAACAGCTTCATGTGGCAAGTACACTTGCCAATCCGACAGGTACTTCACGGCAGTAGTATGAATATCCACAGCAGAGCTACCACGTTGATTCCAGCAGCTAGTTTCGGAAATACCATATTTTCCAAGCCAAAACAATAAACAACTCAGCACCTTCCTTCCCTTTAGAATTAAAAGAAAAAAAAATCTGAATAAGAGATGTTAGCATTTGGTGCACGAAACCCCCCTAACCTCCATGCACCCATCGATCTATCACACCGTACCAACATATGATCAATATCCTCCATCTCATTACAAAATAAACATCTCCCATCAATATTTAACTCTCTTCTATGAAGCATTTCCTTGGTAGGAAGCAAATTACGACAAGCACGCCACGTGAAATCAAGAACCTTAGGGGGTAGATCAAGATTCCATACTCTTAACCATTCAATTTTAAAGGCTTCCTACCCAAGACCTTCAAACTCACATAATACCGTGATTTCACCGTGTATATCCCCTTCTTATCATAGTACCAAATAAGCAAATCTCTACTATCAAAAGAACTAATGGGAATCCCAATAATAGCCCTTTATATCCCTAATACTAAAAAGATCCATAAGTTTAGAAACATCCCATTTTCTCTCCCCTTCTTCGAAAAGGTCTTTAACATATAAATTGGGTCAATAAAAGAAGTGCCACCCTCCACCAAAAAGGTATCATGATTTGATATCCAAGGGTAACTAGCCACTTTAATACTCTTACCATTCCCTACTCTCCATCTGACTCCATGCTTCAAAACACCACTAGAAAACAACACACCCTTCTATACAAAACTCGGATTCCTTCCGAAGGAAACCTTCAAAAAATCCCCATCGAGAAAATAATATAGCTTTGAAAATGTGACAAAGAAGAGCGTTAGTATTGGTTAATAACCTCCACCTTGCTTACCTAGCATAGCAACATTAAAAGCAATGTAAGTCTCTGAACCCCATACAACCATCCTTCTTAAGGCTACACATCATAGCCCACGCAAGCCAGTTAATACCCTTACCCCCTTTCCTCTTCCCACCCTGCCAAAACTTATTCATAACCCCCTGTAAATCATAACAAATAGGAAGAGGAAGAAGAAAAAAACTCATACAAAAAGAAGGGACCGCCTGAGCAACCGATTTCAAAAGAACCTCCCAATTAGCTCTAAACAAAAATATGTTATTCCACCCAATAATCTATTTCCATAATTTATCCTTAATAAAATAAAAAATTTGCCTCTTATTTTTCCCAATGAGAGACAGCAAACCTAAGTAGCTACCTCCACCCAAAGGGTTATGCACAGCAAGAATCGCTGAAATATTAAGCTCAAGCTCCATACTAACATTTGGGCTAAACAAAATACCTGATTTCCCTAAATTCACCGACTGACCAGAAGCTCTCTCATACTCATAAAGGATAGATTGAACCTGAGAGGCTTCAAAGACATTTGCCTGGAAAAAGGATAGTGAATCGTCTGCAAATAATAGGTGAGAAGTCCTAGGACATCGACTACTTGCCCAACGCCCATGAATTAAACCCTGCCTTTTGGCATCAGAAAAAAGAAGAGAAAGAACTTCCGCACAAATAAGGTACAGATAAGGGGGTAAAGGATCTCCCTGCCTTAAGCCCCTCCCATGTTTAATAGGACCGATTAGAAGACCATCAAAATTCACATTATAATTAACTTGTGAAAAACACAAAAACATCCAATTCACCCATAAAGTCGAAAAACCCAGACACCGCATCACATCTCTTAAAAAATCCCAATCCACTCCATCGAATGCCTTACTAATGTCAATTTTAAGCGCAAATGTACCCATCCCACTCCTAGTAGTCCTCAAATAATGAATGGTTTCAAAGGCAACTAGTGTATTATCAGTAATCAAATGCCCAGGTACAAAAGTCGATTGGTTGGCAGAAATAATTTTAGGCAAGCATTTTTTCAGTCAATTGGCAAGAGCTTTAGATTAACTTAACTTTAAATTTAATTTAAATTTAAATTTAATTAACTTAACTTTTTTGTATATAATACAATATCATAAAGACATAAACTATCTATCTATCTATCTATAAATGTGGGAATAAGAGGGGGAGGGGGAGGGAGAGGGGGAGGAATAATGGAATTTCTCATATCATCCTTAATGAAATTTAGAATATTTTAAAATAAAGTTAATCATAACCAACTAGATTATTGTATTTTATTAGTTGATTGAATATATTTATAAAAATTATTTTTTAATAAATACATGTAGATATTTAAGGATTTCAAAATTTTAAGTTTTTTCTTTTCTAAATTTATTTTTTAATAAATAAATATGATAATGAGATATTTGAAAATTTTTATGTTTCATTTACTAAATCTTTGATTCTATTTTGATTATAATTGAAATTATTTTATTTAGGAGAAATAAAAAAGTATATGTTATACATAAATAGTTTTATTAAAAACAATTTCAATTGTGAAACGTGAAAAAATTTTAAAATATGTTACATATAATTTAGTATGTTACCTTAAAAGTATAACACTAATATTATATATTATTAAAAATCTTAATCGGAAAATTTTGTATTCTACTATTTCCATTTTTTTTACTGTTTATGCTATTATGTATATTATTTGTTTAACTAATAAATAACTATTAAAATTTATTAAAAAGTTTGCTATTAAATTTAAGTCTTTTAATGACGTTGAAAAACAAGTCTTAAATGTTAAATATTATAAGAATATAATATAATAAGAATATAATATGTTTTGTTTTTACTTTTATTAAATATTTAATTTGATTGGTTATAATTATTTTAAAAAGAATAAATGTAAGTTATTATTATTTTTGAGGATACACATAAGATTTATTGTTTGATATAAGATAGAAAATAAAATTCAATAAAAATATATATCTATATCTTTAGATAGTTTATCTGTTTATGTAATTTGAAATATCCTAACATAATCTTAGTTAGCCAATTAAAAAATTATATTTTATTAGTTGATTAGATATAATTTGTAAAATTTATTTTCTAAATAATTAAGAATTTCAAAATTTTAAATTTTATGATAGTTTATCTGTTTAATGTATTTGAAATATCCTAACAATAATCTTAGTTAGCCAATTAAAACAATTTTAATATTTTAATTAGTTGATTTGATATAATTTGTAAAATTTTTAATTTTTCTAAATAATTAAGAATTTCAAAATTTAAATTTTATCTTTTTTAAATTTTATTTTTTAATAAATATATATATGATAATAAGAAATTTGAAATTTTTTATATTTTATTTAGGAGGGAGATAAAAAAAGAAAAAAAGTATACTCTTTTTTATGTTTATATTATTTGATTGGATATATCTTTTAAAAAATAAATATACATAATATTTTATTTAGAAGAGAGCTATAAAAAAAGGAAAAAATATATTCTTTTTGCTTTTGTATAGTTGTAGAGAAAATTGATGGTTTATTTAGTGAGGATATAACGTTTCTTTATGTAATCTTTTTTTTTATTACTTGATTAACTTATTTATTTATTTTAAATTTGCAACTTAGAATAATAGAGAAACAAAATACTTGAATAAACTTATTAACTTAACTTATTTATTTATTTTAAATTTGCAACTTAGAATAATAGAGAAACAAAATACTTGAATAAACTTATTAACTGACCAATATTGGATCATTCCATGATTTGCTTTGTAATTTTTATTTATTTACTTGGATTTTTTTTTTTTTTTGTCCATCAACATCAAATTTCATTAAATTATAGCCTAACCAGGATTTTTTAAAATTCAAATTGATAATTTTTTTAATATAATTTATTTCTTATTATATGTTGAGTTCTTAAAAGAGTTTTATTCTCAATAATAATTTTTTTTTATTTTTTATTTTCTTTTTCGTTATCAAATTAATTTGTAACCACTATCGCTTTAATTTAGTGAGTGATTTATATTTCTCTTGCAATAAATAGATGGTCTCATTATTTAGTATTTTTAATTTTCTTGATATTTTTCTTTTATATTCTAAATCTGTTTGACTTGAAAAAAAATAGTGTTTATGAAATTGAAAAAAAAAAAATAGAACTATATATTTCTATTTCGGGTCATTTTTTGGGTTCAAGAATTTATGTATATGTTCATATATTCATTTTTCTAATGTACCGGGTAAATAATATTATCACTATAGCCAAAATAATTAACATTATCAATTTAGATCATCTTTTCATTTCTTTTCTTTTACTAACTAGTAAAAAATAAATTATTATTATTTTTCATTATAGTTGTATATATATATTGATTGGGATTGAGGGTAATAAGTTGGAGATTGAGTGATGACTTGATTTTCTTTTTGGGCATCTATCTGGATTCTAAAAATCTGTATTTAAAAATTAGGGATTGAAGGATTAGGTGCAGAGATTGGATTGAACTTTATTTTGAGACCACTCCATTATATAAAAATAGAATCAAGTACATAAGAAATAGTATTGCAATTAGCTTATATGGCAAAGTCTAATACAAATTAGCCAATTGTATTTTTTTTAATTTAAACAAAAACTTATACTTTAATATTATATAGATAAAAAATTAAAAGAGTACAAAAAATGAAAATATAACGAGCGCTGCCAATGTGCAACGCACATCATAAAAAAGACTAGTACTATATATAAATGTGAGAATATGGAGGAACAATAGGATTTTCGATATCGCCCTTAATAAAATTTAAAATGTCTTACAATAGCCTTAATCATAGTCAATTAGAATATTTACATTTTATTATTTGATTGGATAAAGTTTATTAAATTATTTTAAATAATACATATGGATAATTTCTTTTTTACTTTTTTAATAAATAGATATGATAATGATACATTTGAAAATTTTTATATTTTATTTTTAAATTTATTTTTAAAATATTTGATTCTGTTTTTATTATACTTTATAATGTTTATTTATGAGTGATAAAAATAAGAGAACAAGTATATTTTTTATATTTTTCTTTATGTTTGTATAATTTAATTGATTGGATATTATATTTTTTAAAAAAAATCTACAAAATATATATATATATATATATATATATATATATATATATATATATTATATAAAGTATTGCAATTTTATATAAAGTATGCAATTTTATAATACAAATTTCACCATATTTATTTTGATAAAAAAAATTGAATTTAAAAGATAGTTCAATCAACTTAGCTACAATGAATTTATAAGTAATCAAAGAAACTTAATTGGATTCGGAAAAGTATCTGAAAATTAATATTCCATTAAAAATAAATAAAAATTATTTAAAGAAAACAGAAATTGTTGTCACTATTCTCAAAATGTAAAATACCTTTTCAATTACTTATCCATTATAGTTCCTAAAGTATATACCAATAAAATATTAATACTGCCTATATATCTATCTATAATATATAATCTATAATCAAATAGTAGGTTTGTAGACTAGAAATTTTTTCAGTTTCAATTTTCTTAAAACCAATATTGTGGCATTATTATTTATTTCTAATTTTCCTTTGTTCCATTTTAATTAGGAATTATAATTTTATTGTGGAAAAGTTTTATCCTATTATATCACTATATATATAATCTTTTGTTGGAAGAACTCTAATGCCAAAGAGGTGCCCTCATCAATCCTGACAGATTTTTTAGCAAGTGTACGAAATTGCGAATAAGTAATAAAGAGTGAGTAGAGTATTTTCCCACGAAAATTGTATACTAAGTGTGAAAATTGTGTTAACCTACTATTATTTAAACAACAATAAGGAGAATAATTGTAAAAATAAAAGAAATAAATTGAAGCAATGAAAAAGAAATCAAGCAAGTAATTGTTGAAAACAAATCAAGGTTTAAAGGTTATTATGGATTTTGACTTCACTTAATTCTATCCAGTTTATCCTATTAGTTTAATAATCAATTTTAATTACTAAATAAGCAGAAATAACACTAAAATCGCTAATAAGCTCTCTCGATGTTTTATTAGCTAAGCTCTCTCGATGTTTTATTAGCTATTTTAACCCAATTTAATTACACATCTCTCAATGGCGCAACCAAACATAGATTAAATCATTAAGTTTTTGTGATTATTCAGGAATCCACAAATTAAGGCTCTTAATTTATGAAAACCTCCCACGAGTCAAACCATCTAGCTCTTATATTAAGTTGTTATTCCCATGAAATTTATTAATCTATTCATATCAAAAACCCTTCCCTTGACGGTGATTAATGAAATAAATCAATCCAAGGGAGAAACTATGCCTGGAAGCATTAAGATTAACAATAAATTTTACTTGAATAAAAAAAATCAAATTTAATATTATAAATTGGAGTTAAATTTAAGCTACATCATATCTCCAATAAAAAGATTTAGTTCGACAGAGTAAATAAATTAAACTCAATTAAACTTGTAAATAATACCATAATGAATAATAAACAAGAAGAGAATTTAGAAATAAAAACTAGTCAATGATAGGCATGAGCGGCTTTCTTGAATCTTGACATCACTTGAATACTTGAAGTCTTATAAAGAGAGAGATGAAATAGGCTAGAGAATATAGAACAAAAGATGAAATATACAATGATTGTCTACAGATTATGGCTAGTCTCGACGGTGATTAATGAAATAAATCAATCTAAGGGAGAAACTATGCCTGGAAGCATTAAGATTAACAATAAATTTTACTTGAATAAAAAAAATCAAATCTAATATTATAAATTGGATGAATAAAAAAAAATCAAAATCTAATATTATAAATTGCGAGTTAAAATTTAAGCACATTATATCCCCAAAAAAAAGATTTAGTTCGAACATAGTAA